GTATGTTAAAAAAAAACTCACACGTTTACATGTTATAAATTTATCCGAAGGCACTTCTTTCACACTTCCCATCCTGTAACCCACACTATCGCTTTATGCTTAACTCAAAATACACATCACCTTTTTTCCTAAACTTCGCGTAATGCTTCAAAGTTAATAACTTGCACGGCATCGTCCGTAATTACAACCCTGCCCGTCAAATGTAAATACTTTGCCCCATAACAAACATCTTCCCACTAGAAGACGCCCGTCCCTTCATCATTCCTCATGAATATATTCAACCCATCGAAATAGCCCTTTTATAAAACGAACAAACTCAAATTTAACCACAAGCTTTATAATCACGAATTGTAAGCTGTTACTGAAGATGTAAACATCATCAGAGCACTTCAACTGTTTTAGCCACTGATTCAAACTAAAAACATAATAAGCAATCTTGCAAAGCTTTTATTAACATCCGACACCATTAAAATCTACTTCCCCAATGGAATTTTCCCTGACCACGAACCTTCGTAAATATATTTTTCCTTGTTATTACTGACACAAAAAAATTAAAACGCTCACCATCTTTTTACGTATGTTTCTTTTCTTATTTTTCAGACTTCTCCCAGTAGTCATCTAAAAGAATCAGATAAAAATGAAAAAATAAACTTTTTCAACTTTCGTTTCATATTTCTCACTATGTAATTTAAAATATTCTGGTGCAATAAATTTCAATATACACGCAAATAAGTTATAATTCTGTAGTAAAATTCAAATTTGAAGTTGTAAATTACTGAAGAAAACTAAATTAAGGAGCACTAAATTTTTTTGTGTACTTCTTTTTACAAAACTCGAATAAATGATATTCACTTGCCTATATTTCACGCACTCTTTCCACACATTATGCAAATCGCTCGCGTAGAGTTGTTTGATAAATGAAATTCACGTTTCAGAAACTAACTGATAACAACTTTAACTTACTTTCACGCTTTTGAAAACTTTCACTTAACCCGGTTGGAAGGGTTTATTAAGTAGCTTATGCTAGCCAACGCAGCTTACTAATGCCACAAAACCAACCGCGTGTATGAGAAAGTCGTAAGACACCCAAACCAGGTTAAACTCAATTTAAAATTGGGTCAATTACTCTTTTGAAACCCACTTTCAAAATTCATTAACACCACATAGAACACTAAAAAACTCAAAAGAAAAACTTAAAACACGACAGTGTTATTTTGAAAAAAAAGTAACAACCAAAAACAGAAAAAGAGAAAAACACTATAAAAAATAACAAAAAGTTGAAGACAAAAAGAGGCTCAACTCAAAAAAACGGTAAAATCATACTCCCACAACTGGCCTAACCTACCAGTAAAAGACGTCCAGTGCATGCTCTAAAGCCGGCCTCACCAACCGCGTTACACCACGCTTAAGACACGCACACCTAATTTGACGAGAGTAGTTCTAGGGTGAGCAAATCTCTGAAATAACCGAAATTAAACAAAACGCTTTTGCAAAAACAACTAATAAAAATCTGAAAAAAAAACTGATATCACTGACAAGATGCAGTTAAAAATGTGCAATATAAAAAGATTTTCTACAGCAAAAAGAAACGAGCAGCAAAGCGAGATTAAAACTCGATGAAATTCCGACTCTGGAATGGCAAATTTTTTGGTTTGTTGCCGAAGCTACTACCCTCACAGGATTTAAAGTATAGACCCGACATTACAGGAAAGAAACCCATTGAAGAAGAACAATGGCCACTGGATGTTGATCTCACATACAAATCCTCGTTCCTTGGCGCTTCACCACAGAGAAGTCAAACCCCACCTTGCTATTCGATGAATAGTTGAGAATGCACGCAGTATCGCTCTAGCTTAACGAAATCAACTTATCATTGCATAAATCTGAAAACCGAACACAATCAATGCCCACGATCCTGGTATAGGTGACTACTTTCAAAAGAACGAGCCACTGTACCCTTTCTCTACCAGGAATACAACTAGTCTGCAAAAAAAGCAACTGTTTCTCTCTCTTCATTCACGCAGCCACTGCTTTAAAAGAATCTACTCCAAGAATCAAGAAATCTGTCCATCCGTCCTTCACTACAATAAACATTAAAACTAAAACTCTCTAAAACCCAAATGGATGCAATCAGTTCAAAACTAGTATTTATTTTCAATTATATTATTGATAAAACTATCCCTGTAAAATATTTCTTAGTAACCAATCATGATCCATAATTAACACTTACTATAAATTGTATAGCTGAAACTATTCATAGTTTCACCGACAGAACAAAATAAATACAATTTAGCAAACAGTCGGTCTCCATAAGAATAGTTCCTGATATCTTATCTCGCAAATACCAGTATACACGAGATCTATTCAGACTAGGAGATATAAGAGTAAGATTATTTTTGGTATTAGACTAAGAAGCTGCACGAATCTATCCGGACGAAAACAAGATGTGACGAACAGGCGGTATGCCTCATCTGAAATTACCCTACGAGTGAGCCACCCCGGATATAAACTCACAAGTTTTAAACATGGGATTTACCCAGCTTTCACTGACAACATTATGCAAACATGAGAATGTCTAAATTGTGTTCTGCCTACTAAACTTTAATGTCAAAACACAACATCTACTGAAAAGAACTACGCTCTTGAGACAAATCAAGACCTGGTTATCAAAATTTGATATCAAATTGTAAACAAAAAAGGCTCCTTAAAGCACCCGTAGTAAAAACTCTTGTATTTATTACTTTTCATGGCTATGAGTACTAAGATTGAAGACAAGCGTTCCCTTTATTTTAAATTTATTCGATTATTTACCTTAGCAAGCTCGTAACTATGTCCGAAACTGGAACAATTGAGGCTTAATGAAATGTTTAGCAACATTTTGAGTCGATGTTGATTTTTAATGAACTTTTATTAGATAGACTGAAAATAAATCTTCCTTGATTCACGGCATCCCTTGGTGGCTTAGCCTTTCAGCTAAGTTCAACGTTTCTATGATTAATAATTAGGAAACTGCTCATATGAGACAGAGCCCTGAATGTTTCGACGCCCTCCTCTTTTTTGGCAAAAACTATAAAATACACCAAAACTGTTTTTGGTGTAATTTTCATTGACTCATCGCCCCTAATGTTTTTCATTGACTCATCGCCCCTAATGGGCAATCCGAAAATTTGTTGCAAATCAACTTTGTTTTTGCTATGCCATTAAGTTTCTAATAAAACGTTAGAGAGGTTTTCTTTTTTAACTAAAACAAAGCTACCCGCACCGAGCGCCCATGGATCATAATCGATTATATTGTCATAATATGGTCAGCATCTATTAAAAATGGATTATAATTCCAATATTTTTTATCCCAATAAAATCCATTATAATCGGTTTATTTACCCCCACCCTGTTCGGTTTATGTTTATTCACTCCCCCCCCCCCCCCCCCCAGATATATTTTACCCCCCCGAAAAATAACCGAATTTAGTTCTAAAAATGAAATGGATTATAATCAATTATAATGGATTATAATGGATTATATATGTTCAAAAATAATCGATTATAATGGCTATATAATCGATTTCGTGGTCTGAATTTTACATCCGTAATGGATTATAATCGATTATTTTTGTCTCGGGAATCCATTATAATCGATTTGAATCCATGGGCGCTCGGTGCGGGTAGCCGACTGCTGTGCAAGAATCACAGAAAGAATAACAAGAATCACAGAACTAGATCTGATGAGGAGCACCACAAAAATTATCTCAAGTTTTTTTCTATATTATTTACAGATTAAATTTTGTGTCAGGCAAGCGCTTGCAGAAAATACAAAAACACTATTTCCCAGAATATAAAAGAGTTTTTCTCTGCTTCTGTAAAAAATTTCATTTATCACCTAATTGCTCGCTGTGCTCTCTCGAATTTATCTAAAACACAAAATGCAAGAATTTTGATTTTTCAATCTGAAGTTTGACCGAATTTTTTTTTATCAATATACTGTTTTCAACTATCAAAATGACTAAATTTTAATCAATCCTCGCGCAGTTTACAGGTATCTGAATGATTGAAGCCTTGAAGTCTTTTCATGCAATATTCAGCAACATTAAATTTCGATATACAGAGGCAAAGCTGAGCTTCGCACCAGTTCGCACTCAAAATTAACAAGATAGCTGTAAAACAAAGCCCAGATAATTGAACACAAAATTATCATCGGAAACATATTCACCAAGTGGTAACAACGCCGAAAACATTTGGGCAGAAATTCTTCATTCGTGCCGAAAAAACGTTAAAAAGTCAAAACTAAACAAAAAAAATTCTTCCTCTCACAATACACACAAAAACTTTTTGCACTAATCAAACGACGCTTGTTGTCGTCGTAATTTTTGTTTTAATTTAATCTAAAGTCACAAAAATCTAATCTAAAAAAACAAGTGTGAAAAAATCATTCTATTGTTCGTTTTTCCGGTTATTTCAAATTATGCCTGTTTGAGCTTTTTCAACACAAAATGCAGTAAATTTTTGATAAGCCAAGAAAAACGCTGATTCTAAAAAACAATCCAACTAAAGGAAATGTACCATCAGAATTTGGGGAAACTTTGCTGGCTACTGTAAAAAGGTCGTTTCATTAAACTAAGTATCACTGAATGAAAGAGGACTAAAAACGTGTTTTTAACACCCTGGTACACTTTTGAATTTATAATCTGAACAAGCGCTTGTGAATTATCTATCGGGTTTTGTTGATTACGTTCCTCAATAAATTGCTCGCTTACATCTTTTTAGCAACGAAATATGATGCAAAGTGTTGTTATTAAAAAGATCTTTTATACGATTAGTTGTCATTTTTCATATACACATGAAAACGTATCTGTAGATCCATTGCTGAACTCCCAGGCTGTCGCAAGTATACTAAAGTGTCATTTTGTGACTTTTTGAACGTTTCCGCCTGAAAACCATATATATTATGATTACCATCATGGTCATTCTTATGATTGTTTCGATAATTTGGCAATTCTGTTTCAGGTCTGAATCACTTTGACAACACTGCCACAATCAAAGAAGCCATTCTTATTCTACTCTCTCTATGCGGATGGGCCATCTTAGTCTACATGTTTTTCCGACAGTGGGGGGCTATCAAAAACTTGCAACCTCGAGAGACCCGCTACACTCCACCTCCCAAACCCCCGCCCCCTGAAGATCAAAACTCGCAGCTTGAAGCAAATCCCCCGGAACCCGACTTGACAATAGTTTCTGTCGGCGTGAACGACAATGTAACAAACGGTACGAGTACTCCGAGTCCGACTCCGGTTTTTGCGAGGAAGGAGAGTCGAGTGAATAAAATAGCGAAGTTCAGGCGTATGCGAGACTACAGAATTGGGTTACTGAAGCATTCCAGTTTGAAGTCGCTTTCGTCCAGGGGAAACAGTCGGAACAATCTGTCGTCCGTCGATATCAGAAGCAGTACAAAACAATCTGACTTATAATTAGCAATAACTTACACCTTCAAATATAGTCAAAAGTATACCGCAAGTTTAAGCTCCTCGTTATTTCCATCAAGTTGATCATCCCAAAAAAGTGTTAAAGCCAAAGGTTTTATTTCAAAAAATAATTAATGATTTTATTAGGGAGCTTAGATTTCTTATAAGTTATAAATATAAAAATGAAACTGATTTGACAGGGATGGTTTTATAGGGGCAGAAATTGACCCAGAAATGGCGCTTTGGCATTTAAATAACAAGCCGGCGGCACAGAAAATTATGCGAAAGAATTTTTTTGAAGAGCACGAAAAATCGATATGACCAATCTAAAAAAAGTTGACAAATTTTTTTAAACCCGTCCGTTCTCTACACTCCCTGAAAAATTCCCCAATCCACCCCTGGGTGGCTATATCTTAGTTATAACATGAAGATGCTGAATTTCTTTTTTTTTGGTGGGTAGATTTTACAATTCTTGCGTTTTTCTTATGCTGGTACCTTTTCACTCGGTAATTCCGCAACCTTTGTATCTCATATCATTTGTTTTCAATAATTTTTAATCCTCATTCAATGTTGCGAAATTTAATCTCATTCAAAATTACCCGTATATCAGGGCAAAGCCATGAATATTAAATCTCTCACTTAACCATAATTTTTTTTGAGCAAGTTTGGCAAAAAAATGAATAGAACAATTTACTGAAGTCAGGGAGAAGTTTTGATTGTTCCAATTAAAGGTTTAAAAAAAACAAAAAAAATTGAGTAAAAAAAAACAAAGAAACTTTGAAATTTTAAGTTTTGTAAATTCCACCATATTCAAAATCAAATTGAAAAGGGCAAAATTTGCTTCCTTTTACCCAACTTTTGGATCAATTAGCTCGCCTCAACGCTGGGCTGGCCAAATGAGCGCCTACAACATGCGTTAATTGGAAATTAACATGAGCCAATCTTCAAGCCCATCTGACTCCACAAGAAAAGATATGCAGGGTAGTTATCTTCATTATCTTAAACTGGAAAATCATTCTGTCTCAGAATATATGAGAAAATGTTGTCAAAAGCTGCTAATTTAAAAATCGAAAATTTTGATTGAGAAGAAACAACCGCTTCTGAGTCCGGCACAATTTTTGTCAAATTTATCATCTTTCAGATGTTCTCACGTCAACTGCTGAGTTCACGCTGGTCCAAATATTTTTTCGAAGTAGTCGCCTTTCGTGTAAAATGAAACTGAACATTTCTCAATTATCTAAACCCTGTATTTGAGCGGTGGGAATGATATTCATATAAACCTTTGTTTCAAAATTGGGTCCCCTCACGGAAAATATTATATTTTGATTTCATCATCTCGATTTGATATTGAATCAACTTTCCTCGACTTTGTCAATTTTGATCAATTTTTGCCAAACTTTGTCGACTTTGTTCAACTTTGGACACCCCTCCCTCAGGGATTCGACCCCTCTCGACCCAAAGGACCCCCTTGGCCACTTTTTAAGAAATCCATTTTTGGCCGACCGACCCTAAAAACTTTAGAGATAAAATTAAAGAGATATAAGAGTAAGATTAAGATTGGTATTAGACTAAGAAGTTGCACCGATCTATCCAGCCGAAAAAAAGATAGCGTCACGAGCAGACGGTGTACCCTATCTGAAATTACTCTATGAGTAAGCCACTTCAAGCTAAAACTCATCTGGTGCGACTAAAAGTCTCGAACAAACTTAGACTTAGCAAAATAGAATTAGAAACAGGATCAAAATATGAATTGCAAAATTGCAAAGTGTTAGATAGCATAGACAATCTTAAAGATATGTCTCTAAATACGTCTACTCCAAAATTTCGAACGATACGACAAACACCAAGTCAAAAACTGAACAGCAGACCCAGCTTCTACATCGTGAAACGACGCAAACTGCAACAGAATTCTTCATGCAGTAAATTTTCATTCTCTAACTAATGTAATTGGAGCAATAAGATGTATGTCCAAGCAACATATTTCTTGATGTTATATTACCATATTATATAACTTTAGTAACGACTGACAAAAAGATACACAAGTGGTTCCTTTCATAAAAAAATTTTAAAAAATTAAAAGTAACAAAACTGAAGTAAATTTTTTTGAACTAAGTAATCCCTTCACCCTTTCATTCTTTTTCAATCCTTATCATCCTTGTTTCTTCAGCTAAAACATCACCATAATTATTCAAAACCCAATATCATTTAAATTGTTAATCTTTAAATCATTTCTTTTAAACTCTTAATATTTTATTTAGCTGAAATTCAAAACCTAAAAATTATCAAAGCCTATCCCTGTTTTTCGATATTCAAAATTTTCTCAAAAGCAGACCACCAATGCTATCTTTAAATTCTATCTTATTTTAAGTTTTTTTTTTTTCATTTAAAAAATGTTTGATCATCAAGGTTTTCCTTGAACCAATCAGAACATTTTTGTTCTCCCGAATTCTTTGTAAAATGTCGAACGCTCGCAAACGTCGATTCATTCTCAACCTTTAGCAACGACCCAAGATTAATAAAAATGAAGTTGATTTTCATTGGCTGACATGAAAGTAAATTTACTTGGAAAAATAAACCTAATTTCCAAGCAATAAATTTCTTGATGCTTTATAGCCATATTATATAACAATAATAACGACTGATAAATTGAACACAAATCGTTTCTTTCAAAATCTGCAGCAATTTAGTTTTAAAAAATTTTGTAAAATTTGTTTTTCTTGAATAAAAATGCAAAAACTAGTTAGAAATTTAATTTATATTAGTTTTATTAAATTTATAAAGAGTTTCGTACTTTTCAAGAACTCGTTTTTTCTTCATCCACGCATACTCACCTAAAACACCTAAATTTATTCAAAAACTAATATCATTTAAAAACCTAACCCTTAAACAAATTTTTAAACCTATAATTTTTTTCAACTTTAACTTTATATCTAAATAATTATCGAGGCATATCTTTGCTTTTCGATAATCTAAAATTTTAAAAAAAAAAACAGATCATCAAGGCATTTTTGAATCTTTAAATTTAACCTTAATTTAACGATTATTCATTTGAATTATTTGATAATCAAGGCTTCCCTTGGATCAATCAGACCAATTTTGTTTGCCCCACCTCATAATTAAAAGTCTAACGACCTCAAACGTCAATTCACCACTCTCCAACCCTTATCAAAGACCCAGGACTTATAGAAATTTTCAGAAAACTTACCATTCTAATTAAGATAATCAGTGAAGAACTTCGGTTACTCATCCTTCACTTGAGCCCCTCCTCTCAGCTGACACAGTTAAAAACAGCATCATAAAAATTACAATTAGTAATATCTATAATAGTTTCTAACGATCTACGTGTCTTCTAATTATACCTGCACCTTGTAGATTCATTTAATTTTCTCCAACCCTTAATCAGAAAACCGCAACCCTAAGTAGCATTAGGTAAATTTTCCTTTTAAAAAATCTTAGCCATTGAGGAAGTAAAACATCATTCTAACGAATTGATATATTTTCTCTCCAACCCGTCAACCTCGACAACTTACGCCCCAAGTTAGAATATTCACACAAAAACTGTAACAACTAACAAATTAGGAAATAAAAATTATAACACCTGAATTTTGCAACCATCATTCTAAACCTTAAGTCAAGAGATAATTTAGGCAAAAAACAAACAGTAGAAGTTCACAATTGTTTAATTCAAAACGAAAGTTATAATCTTGTAATTAAACCACAAAGACAAATACTAGGATACATCAGATCCAAAAGAAAAAAAAATATTCAATTATAGCACAACAAAAATAAATTATTACGCGAAACTATTCTAAAACACGAATCGAAGTTTCGGGATCCAACATAACAACGATACCATAACTTCAGGATCTAAAAAATTCAATCGACAAAAGTAACCCAATAAACGATCCGAAATGTTTTTCAGAACCAGAATTCACAAAGCCATCACAATTAAAAGGTAAACGCAGAATAAAAAATTCATGCTTTCGTAAGCCAGTACGAATTTGTAATTGGAATCAACCAATAAGACACACTGAAAGTTACACATTCACAATAATCAAACAAAAAACTGATTCAATACGACGAAAACTTTGATCATGATTCTAACCTTCTCTTTATTTTTCACCCTTAAAGTGATCCAGCTAGAGGACAAGCACAATTTTTTCATAACATAATCGCAATTTTATTCGAAAAAGGAAATAGCTCGTGTAGGCAAAAATTTACCGAAGTAAAAATCAAAAGTAAAATACTTGATCACTATCTGCAAGATATTTGTAAAATAATTTCTTATTACAGGATATTTAGTATTGAAATCTTGCCATCACAAACAAATCAAACACCACACCGAATTCAAACAGATGATTTAGACCTAGATTTCTCAAAATTTTCAGAGAATATAATAAAAATATTCAACACCGGAATTCACATGAAGCGAACTCAATTTTCACGAGTGATGTTTACTCTATCCTTTATACTTACATTTCCATATTAGAATCAAACGAAGTTTTACATGTATCACCACCTCAAACATCTCGACATGCACTAGTTAGACAAGAAATCAACCTTTTCTCGAGATTTTTAGACTCAATTTGTGAAACATTCGCCAATAACGTTATATCACAAATAGCATAATTTGATCTACAAAGAATCCTAGCATGGTTCATAAGAGAATTTTTTTGTACACAATTTAGATTTAATCTCAACAGCAGGAAAAATTTTCCGACCACAGACATCAGACGATGAAACTATACTAGTAGACCAAATAGAATATGTGAGGGATCGTGAAAAGTCTCATCTTTTGTTTGGCAATATACCTAACGATTTTTCAATTGCAGCAATCGCCACTGTCTCCGTGCAAAAACATTATTTCAGATTAAATATGCTCACCCTTGATGCAAAACCCTTAAATTATACCACAATATTCATTGGTAGAACAAAAAACAAAAGCTTAAATTCACCATTCATAAGTTCACAGGAAACACTTAATGGTACTAGAAATCTGATACAACAAGATATTCAAACTCCATCGCACTTATAAACGAGGATATAGTCGGAACAATACCTACAACAATACAACAAAATATTTTTCCTATTCATCCAAC